AGGACCGTTGCCAAGGTGCCTCTCCTTGATCCTGGGGTAAATTCACCCTAGTATCAAGAGGAGGAACTTTGGAAAGGTCCCTCCAAGGCCCCCCTCGCCCCGATCCTTGGGCGAATTCACCAGGTGGCCCGTCCCCGCCCAGGGAATCCTCCCCAAAATGGTGGTCGCAACGCGTTTGCGCATGCGCAAACACATTGTGGCCGCCAATTTGGAGACCAAAATGGCGGTCGCGTTGTGCGCAGCCGGGCGGCGGCCGAACCGGGCGGCGGCCGAACCGGGCGGCGGCGGCGGCAGGAGTCCGCCTGGGCCCGTAAGTCCGGCGACCTGGGCCGGAAACGGCCCGCGGGCCGTAGGTTGCCGACCCCTGCTAAAGAGTGTCAGTGGCCTAATGACATTGTAAAGTCACTACCATGGCAATGTATAATGAGAGACACTGGTATATATAGGGTTAAACTGACCTTTTGGATATACCAGAATTGTAATATCTGGGTTTTCCACCCCTTAAACCAAGTGTACTAGAAACTTGAGATGCACGGTTGAGTATTACCATTTCAAAACTTGAAAAACTATAACAAAATCTTGACAACTGGGATGATCTACTATGATGGTGCTCTATCGTAGTGTTTAGTTCATTTTACTAATCAATTTATCTTAACTGTTTTATAGTAATAACATAACTTTATTTCCCCTTTCAGGCAATAAGCAACAAGGACCAGCACAGTATATCATACACCTTGTCTCGAGTTCAAACAGTGGTGGTTGAATACACACATGACAGCAACACAGACATGTTTCAGGTATATAAAGAATGCATGTGTTAAGCTATTTAAACTGGAAAGATCCTGTTCACCTTTGCAAATATTTGGTTGGTGGAGATGGAAAGGAAGTACTGGACCATGAGCCAGGTTGTCAAGATTTTGTTCATATCTTTGATACAGAGCTTTGGATCAAACATTCTTGAAACAATGTAATTTGATGTTTCTGTTCCTTCCTTATATGTCGTACTCCCCTTCCCCCTTAATAAAAGTTCTCAGGACTAAACTGCATGCCACATTAAATAATGAAGAACAGTTCAACATCCTTGTCAGTTTTACTTTCCAGTGATATGCATGGCCCCAGTTTGGATTGGATTCATCACTGAATTTTGAAACAGACACCATTTGGAGGGGAAAATTTAGCATTTCCACCCATGTGTGCTGTCCCAGTCAAGATTACTAGAAAATATACTATAAAAAGATTTAAACAGCATGCTATGTATTTAACTGGATGCTACATGTTTAATTTCATGTTTAAAGTTCTGCTGAAAACAATTAGGAGTCAATAACTAAAGATTACCATAAAATAGGAACATATTGTTTACAACCATGCTTCTAATCGGTTCTGATGAAGGGGACTGGCAGGGTTCTTTTCCTAATATTCTAAAAGCTAGTACCATATTTGTGTCCATTGGGTACAATGGTTTCTTTCTTTCCTAGAAACTGTCTGCAGACCAGCTACTGATGGCTTATAGCTGGCACAAGTCTAAAGAGGAGAGTGGCCATCTGTAATTTAAAATATTACTAGTCTTGAATCAAGAGCCAGAGTAGTGTAGTGGTTTGAATGTCAGGTTACGATCCTGGAGACCAGGGTTCGATTCTCCGCTTGGTCATGGAAATCCACTGGGTGGCCTTGGCCAAGTCATACACTCTCAGCCCCAGAAACTGATAGGTTTGTCATAAGTCAGAAACAACATGAAGGCACACAATGAAAAGTCTAAAATCACCCTTCAACCCTTTACTGGTTTTATTTTTATTTTTATTTTATAATATGAATTAAACTTGCTACTTCCAATCAAAAACTCTATTGTTGGAGTCTGATCTAACAATATTCACATTTGTCTTATTTATGGGATTTGTATGTTGTATTATTTGGAGATCACTGACTTAATCACAAATTTAGTAATTCTTTTACCACATGTTTGTTTCTTTGATGAGATGCTATCTTGAACCTCCACAGACCTTTGTGGTTTATCCTGATGATCACAGGCACTCTCAAATACAACTTCCAGAAGAATTGCCTTGTTCTGAGCTATAGTAGCAAGAGAAAGGTTGTGCTGACAGTTTAAACTGCCTGTCCTACTGTGTCATAAGTCTTAGACTGCTACTCCATCTTCAGTGAGATGCCAGAAAAAGATGCTAGCTATTTAATGGATCAGATAATTAATTTCCTCCTAAATTCTTACTACAAATACATTCTCTTGGCCACAGTATTCAGATTTTGAAATAGACTGGCAAGTTTGACAATGATGAGCCAAGTATACAAAGGAAATATAGAGAGTCTCTTGAACTGCCTTGCCCCATATAATGGAAACAGAGATAAAAGTTCATAAAAGAGAACTTTGCTGAAGCTTGTGTATCTTTTCACCTGGGGAAGAAGGGAAGGAGTTGAAACAATACTCCTTGAGGTGTGGTTCAGTGCATAGAAACCATTATTACATCAAAATATTGTGAGAAGTGCCACCAAAACTTGTAAGAACAGATGGGCAACTTTGGAGGATTGGGTGGTATACTGGAGGTTATAGTGTTTTGTCTGTTAGAGGGGAGTGCTGGAGTTTTTGCATGTTGGATTGCGGGGTGTTGCCAGCACCTAGAAAATCAGGGAGCTATACCTATGTGCTGCAATAATTTGATGATATGGAAGAGAGAGAATAAAATCCACACACTTCTGTTTTAACACAAGATACATGAAGGGTTCATGACTTGTTTTAGAACCAGCTAATGTTTCCTGGAGTTTTATTTTTAACCACTTGAAAAGGGGGGTTTCAAGCATGCTGCTCACTGGCAAATTTAAAGCCAAAAACAGTGTTTTCTGGGCTTGGCAGCAAATTCCACAGCAGTGGTATCAGGGATCATGGGAGGCAGGGGGACAAACAAACTGCCCATCTTTGAAGCCTCTATCTAAACAATTCTAGCTTGATTATGTGGGTGACCTGAAAGGAGCTAGGGGACAAGATTATATTGAACAGGACTTGGTTTTGTAATAATTACATTCATGTGAATCCCTTTGAAGATTGTGATGATTTTTGCTTTGAACAGGATAGTTTGACTTGCAGCCAAGAGCAATAAGGTGATCCATTGTTCTCAGTTAGGGGAAAAAAGAGCAAAGCATTTGGTGTTTACACTGAATTAAATAGCTCACCTTTGCTCTGATTATACTTGAGTCCAAAGGGCAGTTGCTAAGCCAGGTAGTTCTAGACCTGCTCTACTTACAGGTGGGTAATGCCCTTTGTAAGTATTACTTTGTGTAGACACATGAATCAGGTTTTTTAGAAGTGCTACATTTTCATACTTATGTGAGAACGAATGCCAGTTATGCAAGACAGAAGGAAACCAACTCTAGCCATACTTAAACTATTAGAGATGCTCATCTTATTACTTCATAGTTTGAAGAAGCGCAAAATAACTTTCAGGGCTAAGCTATGGCTTCTTACTGCATCTCCCTTTTCATGGGCTAAAGATTCCAACCAGCCACTCAAAACCAGCAGAGATCTTTACAGGCAATCTGATCAGCTATTTAACAGGTACAGTCCAGCACCTCAGTGATGAAGGAAAAGAAAGGAAAAATGTCTAGCAGCTTTTCTTTCTAACAGAGGGAGGGAAGTAACTGAGAAATATGGTGTTTGCTCATATTTGTTGAGTGTATGCAAACTTGGATGCTGTTTCATACATGACTGAATTCTGGACATTGAGCTGGGAGAGAGGTTAAATGTTGGTTTATGATGGAATGTTTTGCTTTATGTTGTATCTGTTTATTTTTGTCAGATTGGGAGATCAACAGAAAGCCCTATAGACTTTGTTGTGACAGATACTATTCCTGGAAGTCAGAGCAATTCAGAAACACAGTCTGTTCAAAGCACCATCTCAAGATTTGCCTGCAGGATAATATGTGAACGAAATCCTCCTTTTACAGCAAGAATATATGCAGCTGGCTTTGATTCCTCCAAAAACATCTTTCTAGGGGTGAGGGATGATCTGTCTCTGCTGTTCAATTTAGGCTTAAGATCCCAACTTGCTTTCCTGCACATTTGCAGGTGAAGGACTAAAAAATGAATAAATGCCACTTCATTGATGTTTCCCACAGGAGAAAGCTGCCAAGTGGAAGACATCTGATGGGCAAATGGATGGGCTAACCACGAATGGAGTCCTTGTTATGCACCCACGCAATGGATTCACTGAAGACTCCAAGCCAGGGGTGTGGAGGGAGATATCAGTATGTGGGAATGTGTTCAGCCTCAGAGAGACAAGATCTGCTCAGCAGAGGGGAAAGATGGTAAGTCTGAGAATAGCAAGTTTAGATGTCATGCTCCACTTGGAATAAATTGCCCTAATTTCATGGGAACCTAAGCGCAGATATTTTCAGGAGGAGGATCTATATGAATCAGAGTGCTTATGTTTTGCTCCAAGATTTATTAGATTAAATTACATATACTGAATTAGTGATACTTTTGGGATACAAGATGCATTCTTTGCAAGAATTCATGCTGTCTAAGTGCTCCTATTCCTCATTGACATTAATCCTTTTTTATATTTAGGAAATCACTCCTCTACCACAGGAGTGGAGGAAATTCATGGCTCTCCAGATGCTGTTGCACTGCAACTCCCATCATCATTGGTTATGCTGGATAGATAGATGTAATTTGCAGTTCAGCAACATCTGAAGGGCCACAGATTCCCCACTCCTGCTATAAGAGGCACTTTAGACCTGACAGAATCCTATGTAATACAGGCAGAATTTTAGAAAGATACTCAAGAAGAGTGAGGCTTTTTATTACCTCTCATGGAAATACTTCAGTGGGGTTCCTGCAGTCCAGCTGCTGATATACAGAATCTTTATCACTGCCATTTAGCTAATCAGCACATGGGAAGATACACGTATATCCAGAAAGCACTGTCACTTCAGCTGTTGGTATCTACAGCTAGGCATGAAATTCATTCAGAAATGGATACCTACATATTTATTAATTTATTTATTTTACTGCAGTTATACTCTGCCTTTCTCCCATAAAGGGATACAAATATTAGAATGCAAATTATTGCAGATTTAAAATTAGCAGACTAATATAGAAATAGGATAGAATGGAGAAGACAATTACAGTGGTACCTCTACTTACGAAATTAATTCGTTCCAGCAGC